TCTAACATCAATAGTCTAATTTGCATTTTAATTCTTTCTTATTTAAATCCCCAACAGTTACTGAATGTCTTCTGTTTAACTTGTTCCTTTTTTCTTTCAGTCTTTTAAAAAGTAAACTTGGTTAATGTGATATTTTTATGCTCATAGAAAAATGTCCTCTGTATGACTTACATGGCTACAAACAACAACAACAAACAGTCTTCTTTCTTGCTCTAATGTAGCAGTTCACAAAGATTATTCCATATTCTCCAAATTTACTTGGAGGTCTTCTGTCGGACTTCTCTCTTTGGCAAACATCAACAGTTTCCATCTGTTGCAGTTCCCATCTGTTAGTCAGTGCAAAGTTGTTTTTAATCATCCATCTCTCATCACACAGGGAGTCTGCTGGAAAGAATCAATGGATGTGGCCTTTCCCACAATCCTAAATTTGTTTTCAATCAGTCAAATGTTTTATATCTGAATTCGGATAACACTTAATCATTTGGGAAGTATTCTAAAGATTCAGTATGTATCTGAAAAATAAAATTTTGCTACTTTAACAAAACCTAATCCCTTCTTTTAAGAGTTTATTCATCTTATGGTGGTGGGATGGATTGGAGTAAATGTACACATTTATCTGACAGTTTGGTTCTGTTTGTTGTTTATTTGTTATGTGAAATGGTTTAACTTGTAGTTTCCAGGATTCATAGGAAATACAACATGGAGAAAGTTGGTGCTCTACAAAGACATATTGTGTATATTTCACAAATACTGAATATGAGTATCCTATCGAACTGACCAATTGGACAGAAGCTGTTGCAAAGCCTTATTAAAAGTTAAGCAGAGAAGCAAATTGAATTGAACTGTAGTGGAGTTTATAAGGAATTTGAGTTTGCAGATATACTTGTCTAGAATATTGGCTTTGACATTTAAAAATTGGCAAAATATATGAGATTTCACATGTTCAGGACTGGGAAGTAAATGTGGTCAGGGTGTAAAATGTGAAATTTCCAAATATCCAATAAGAATAATATGTTAATAAAAGTGTACAAAACATTTCATCAGCATTCTAGATTTTATTTTATATTAAAAAGTGAGGTATTACCTAACTATAATTATGAGAAAATATATTTTATAGCATATAAAAGTTTATACAAAATGGGTACCTCAAGTATTTAAGATATTTTCCTATCTTAAATATATTTACTATAATCAAAATAATTTCTGACTTCTTAGTATACAGTTATAAAAATGATGTGTGAAGTGAGAACAAAATCAACAAGATAATAAAAGAAATCTGATTAATTATATTAGAAACTTACAATGGAAATTTAAATTCAAGTGGAATGAGATGGTTAAAGGAAAGATTCAATAAGAACTTTTCTATAACAGGAAAACATTGTACATAAATACACCCATATTCAATCTCAGTCTCAATGGGGCAGCCACTTGATCATTTTGTAAGTATTAGGAAATATTATAGAAAGCCCACTGGAGATTTTTTTTTTCCTCATGGCCAAAACTAACAAGTTCATTACCTGCTTTGCCATGATAGCATTAAAAGTCAGCTTAAGGTTTTAAGTATGTGTGGATTTGGTAGAAGTGTTGACTTCAGAATAAAATGTTCAATGGCTTTTATTCCCCAACATATTTGTCTGAGTGGGATGGTTTACTTACTGTGTCTGAATAGCTCTCTCTATCCTTTGAGGCCCTTCCTCCTAGCCTGTATAATTTATCTGATGACATATCAAAGGAAAATAGTAAGCAGGGGGTGGTAAAGACATATGAACACTTTATATTTCAAAGTTTTTAAAAATATACCCATAAAAAGGTGATTTCTTTTGAAACAACACTAGCATCACTAGTTAACACCAGTAACATAAGTCTTGTTTAATTTATCTCTAAGGTAATGGGTGACATTATGCTAATGTGATCAGGGTACATTATGGGAAATTTCTAAATAGTTAACAAAAAATAATCTTTAAAAAAACGCATACATGAGTAAGTGCAACCCTTGATCTAACACATTCTGTACTGGGAGAGGGAGGTGAAAACCTGGAGCTCTTATAGCCTTAGGCGATATAAGAGAGTAAACACTCTCTCTGCAGGTGGAAATTAATTTAAATTTCTAAAGATGCTTCAGGGATAAGCCCTGAAATGGTGCCAGCAATGCTCAATTCACTTTTCCCTTGTTCACTTTACAGGACAGTGGATTGATTCCCTTGGGCCAACGACAGCACACTGTTCACATTTCCAAGTTGTTTCCACCATTATTATAGCTGTGAAATATCCTGTGACTTAACTGAACACTCTAGAAGGACATAGTTTTCAATTTGAAATAAAAAATAGCATTATTTCATTCACAATAGCTTCAAAAATATATCTTGGAGTTAAAGTAACAAACAACCTGAAAGAATTAAGCAAAGCAAACTTTAAGACACTATAGAAAATAGTGAAGAAAATTGTAGAATATGTAAAGAACAACCATGTGTGTGAATTGGTAAGATCAATACCCTGAACCAACCTAAAAAGAACAAGCAATGTACAGAGATTCAATGAGAATCCTCAGAAATCCAAAGTAATTCTTCACAAAAAATGGAGAAAAATACTTTTAGATGAAAACACAGCAGTCTCTGTGTAGCCTAAACAACCTTGAAAATTTAAACACTGCCTGAGGTGTCATTATATCTGATTTCATCTTGTACAACAGATCCCTTGCTAAAAAAAAAAAAAAAAAAAAAACAAACAACAACAAAAACAAAAAACAAAAAACAAAACAAAACCAGAATGGCACAAGTACAAGAGCAGACATATTTATCAATGGAATGGAATCGAGGTCTCAGGCAGAAGTTCCTGAACCTGCAGCTATGTGATTTTTGACAAAGCTGACAAAAACATATGTTGCAGAAAACACAACATCTTTACCAAATGGTGGCGGGAAAACTGGCTAGTAAATATAAAGAAATGAAAAGGCAATCTTTCTCTCTCAACTGGTAATCTTTCTTTCTCATCTGTACACAATGCATGTGGGTCAGAGATTTCAATGTTAGTGTCCAAACTCTAAAACTTCTAGCAGAACATATAAGTGATACATTTCAAGGTATATAATCTGTCTAAGTCCTCTATTAGTAGGATTCCAGTTACATAGAAAATAAGAGCTACAATCAAGAAGTGGAACCTCAAGGAATTAAAGAAAGCTCCAGTATAGTTCTAAAGATAGCATGTGGACAAGGGAGAGCCCAGACATATACTGCCGCACACCGCGAGGCCCATCTGTGCTCTAAGCGCTAGAACCCAGTTCGTGAGCTTCGGGCAAGGGGCTGGAGGTTGAAAATACACACGCAGAGACAGACCAACACACAGACTTTCCAACACTGGTACCAAAACCCCCTTTAATAGCACCTTAGAGGCTTAAATACCCTGCAGTCAATGGTCAACAGGTGAAAATCCCATCCTCAGATCCTCTAAGCAAAGCACAGCTTTTAGTCATTTCAATTAGAAGGCTCTAGACAGGGAAGAGCAGCTGAAGTCCAGGACTTACATGGTCTCAACAATATACAAAGAACTGCCAGCAACTAAAGAGTGTTGACATCAAGAAAGTTCTCCAATAACCTTAACTTTCAGGGATATGCAAATTAAAACTACTAAACCAGTCAGAGAGGACAGTATTATGAAATAAAAGACAAGTGCTGGGGAGGCTGAGGGCAATTGGGAAAACTCATGTACTCCGGGTGGAGTTAAACTGGTGCACTCATTGTGCAAAGCATTGCATCACTTTCTTAGAAAACTAGCTGTACTTAATGACCCAACTTCATCTCCTGAACACAGTCCAACAGACTCCTATTTGATATTACAGAAAAGCATCATTCCTTCTGTTTGTAGCTGTTCTATTAACACTAACTAGGTCACAACAGCAGGATAAATGAGCCAATTGACAAATAGATAATAAAAATGTGGCTCTTAAACATAATAGAATTCCATTAATCTGTAAAGAATATTTAAATTATTTTTGAATAATAATTTTGAAGATAAGCAGATAGTGATGGAGTAGATTACACTGAGTAAGGTAACTCAGATTGAAGACACATGTTCCCACTAATATTGAAACTTAGCACCAAAGCTTTGGATGTTTATGTATAATTTTAAATGCATACAATCCTGAAATCTAGAAAAATATTACTTGGATTATTGTGGGGAAGCAAAAAATTAAAGGGAAGGCATAGTAGAAAAAGGAGATATAAATAAGAAAAGAGGAATAAAGTAGTAGGAATTTTAAGTGAGGAGAGGGAATGTTAGATAGGGTGTGGGACGTTTTGAGACTGATCACTAACTCTAAGGATGCTTGTAAAAACAGTATGGAAATATTTTTAAACTTCCTCTGTGTGTGTGTGTGTGTGTGTGTTTCTTATACAATATACTTTTATATACAAGAGTTTAGTTGAAGTTTTCCTGCACAGGGGATTATGCTCTGCACAGAGGCTATGGATTGCATTAAACAAACAAATAAATAAAAACATGAATCTCAAGGTCTTTCCCTATATTTTTTGATCACACTTTATACCTCGGTCAAAGTATTTGAGGAATCATGTTAATACTGAGCTGTAACATTATCTTTGCTGACTAGCTCCCAAAGTACTTTAATGCCCTATGTAGTTGGTGTCTGATTTGTTGGAGGCACAACAGTCACACTCAGTTGACTCTACGAACTGCTATAATAAATGCCTTGACAAGTAATACTCATTTCTGTAACAGTGGCACAAATGTACATGAACGATCAGTTGCTGATTGTCCTTGAGGCATATTCCAAAAGAAGAGACTGTAATCTGTGCTTCAAATCCAGCTAAGAAATTATGGTTGGGTCTCCAAAGCTCCTGGAGTAAACTTGTTACTACTTTTTCTACTAAATGTACATAGATCCAAATTGGCTCCGAATTTACTATTTCTGTACACAAAGATTAGTGTAGCTCTTATAAATCATAAGAAATGATTTTTGGGGCCATGAGACAGCAGGAGTCGGAGCGATGCTCACCATGGCCGCTTACAGGGGCTTCGACCAAGAGATGGCAACGAGGGCTCAGGGTTCCGCCGGCCCCGCGCACCTGCGGTTCTCGCCTTATGCCTTCAATGGAGGTACTGTATTGGCAATTGCTGGAGAAGATTTTTCCATTGTTGCTTCAGACACTCGGTTGAGTGAAGGGTTTTCAATTCATACCCGAGATAGCCCCAAATGTTATAAACTAACAGACAAAACAGTCATTGGCTGCAGTGGTTTTCATGGAGATTGTCTTACTCTGACGAAGATTATTGAAGCAAGATTAAAGATGTACAAGCACTCCAATAACAAGGCCATGACCACCAGCGCAATTGCTGCAATGCTTTCTACCATCCTCTACTCACGGCGCTTCTTCCCGTACTATGTCTACAACATCATCGGTGGACTTGATGAAGAAGGAAAGGGAGCTGTGTATAGCTTTGACCCAGTGGGCTCCTACCAGAGAGACTCCTTCAAGGCTGGGGGCTCAGCAAGTGCCATACTGCAGCCTCTGCTTGACAACCAGGTTGGTTTCAAAAATATGCAGAATGTGGACACATGCCCCTGTCTCTGGACAAAGCTATGCGGCTGGTGAAGGATGTCTTCATCTCTGCAGCTGAGAGGGACGTGTACACTGGCGATGCCCTCAGGATCTGCATTGTGACCAAGGAGGGCATCAGGGAGGAGACTGTTCCCCTGCGGAAAGACTGATTGTGAGCCATGTATTGGAGCTGTGGCACAAGCTTGTCATCATTAAAAAGAAGCATGAAAAGTACTCAGTTTCTTACAGTGTCTTCTCTAGGTGTGACAAATTGGGAAGAATTTCTTTCTTTGTGGCTGAAGTGATGACTCACCAGTTCAGAAAGTGTGGCTCTTGCAGAAGACCTAAGTTTGATTCCCAGCACCCACATGTAACTCCAGTTCCAAGGGATACGATGCCCTCTCTCTCCTCAGTAGGCACATACACATAATTATATATAATGAAAAATAAAATCTTTAGTAAAAGAAAAAAAAAGAAATGATTTTTGGTGTAGAGCTTAATTTAGAAATTCACATCTGGCCAAAGTGCAGGGTTTAAATCTCAGAAGAGTCTAAACCACAAAGAGAAGAGATCAGCACCTCTCTCCTTGCCAAAAATCAAAGGCCATCACAAAAGAGGACCTGGAAAGATTGTTGAAAGAGGTCTGGAGTGCATGATTCTGAACAAGACTGGACCCTTGCACACATGAACTCTTACTCACTGTGATTGTTATACAAGATAAAGTCAGTTAACTTTCTAATATGAAGAAGTGAGTGACTTACTAGTCAATCCCCATGGGGAGCTATGAATACTTAGCATTTGTAAAAAAGGCACAGTCAGTTTACTTCAACATCTCTCTCCTGGCAGATCAACTATGTTTCAATGAATGATACTACTTCCAAGAATACATACATGGACAGCCGTACAAATTGGAGTCAAGGGAGAGAGAGTAAATTTGGAGGTACGCTTGTTGCAAGGAAGTGTCTTCTAGACATGATGGTATTATTGCCTCCATGTAGACTCAATAAAAGTGTTGCATGAATAAGAACTGTATAGTAAGTCCACAAGCCAAGATCCTATAAGGCTGGGTGAAATGTTCAGGGTCCCAGGTCCAGATCAACACATGTAGGGAGACACTGGCTGCTAAGGGAAGAACAATCAGTTTTGAAGTATGAACCATCTTATAGCTTATTCAGTCCCAATTGGTCAGCCATGAACATGTGTACATATGAGTAAAAATAAATGGATGCACTGGGATTATTTGTGCATGTTTATGTTAGGTATGTGTGTGTATGTTTATGTATATATGTATGTATATGTGTGTGAAGTCATTAATTAGAGAGAGGTGAGAAGACAAGAGAGGAATTAGAGATGGTTGGAGAAGTAGAAACAATGCAAATATACTACACTCATGTATGAAATTCTCAAAAATATAAAATGTTTAAATAAAAATTTAGTTGGATAAACTATATTTGAAATATTAATTACAATGTAAAAGTATAATCAGTTTCTGTAGAACAACAAAAAAAATTTGGTTCCTTTATAAACTTCCTCATATAATCAGTGAGTAATAGCAGATGTTGAGTAACACAGAGAAACTGGAAGATTAAATACTATAGGTAATAAACATAGATGAGTCATCTTTAAAGCTTCTTTGAGAATTTTGTCAAGAAGTCAATCTAGGGCTGGTCACTTAGTATTGGTAACAAATTAGGGCATTCTTTCAGTGAAAAACAAGTTCTTCTCTTATCAGTTACTAAGTATCTACAGCTCTACATCTAGGTGTGGAGCCTCAGATTTTCCCATCCAACTTCCCGGTCATTTAGAGAAGACACAGTCTTGTAGTAAATGTCAAGATACACTAAATATATTCATCAGGGTACATTTATAGATTAATTTTTATGCATATATCTATATAATTTTAATAATTAAAGAAAAAGCTGCTAATGTTTAAGGTATTGGGAGAGAATGATGAATGGAAAAGAGAACCAAGAAGTGTAAGAACAATATATATATGAAAAAATTTTAAGTGAAGGAAATCTAACTGGGACATTGTGTACTTGATCAAAAGAAACCATTATGCAATTCCATGATTTGGAATAGCTATTTCTGTAGATCTTCATTTGAAATTTCTATTTTTAAGACATTAATAAAGGTTTACAGGTTAAATTATTATTTATTATTTTCTTTTAAATCATGTTTCTTATGCTTGAATTTTCTTATTCCCTTCATTTAAAATATGTTTTCATAAATTTTGATCATATGTGCTTGGTGCTTTTTCCTGTATATTTCCTCTTTGTTAGTAGTAGCTGAACTCCAAAGACTTTTGAAGAATTTCCCTATTATCTTCTACTACTTAAGTACCCTTTCAAACGTACAAATTGTTACAGTGTCTGTTTCATATGAGTCATAATTAATAGACACTTAAATAAAAAGATAGAGAATTTTTTAAATGAAAAAATAAGCAAATATCAAACATTATAGTTTTTATTTATTTATTTATTTATTTATTGAGAATAAGAAAAAAAAGTTTCCGCCCCCTCCCACCTCACATTTCCCTCCCCCTCCCCCCACTCTTCTCCCCCTCCCCCCACTACTCTCCCCCTCCCTCTCTAATCCAAAGAGCAGTCATGGTTCCCTGCCCTGTGGAAAGTCCAAGGTCCTCCCCGCTCCGTCCATGTCTAGGAAGGCGAACATCCAAACTGGCTAGGCTCCCACCAAGCCGGAACATGAAGTAGGATCAGAACCCCTTGCCATTGACCTTGGCTTCTCATCTGTCCTCATTGTTCGCCATGATCAGAGAGTCCGGTTTTATCCCATGCTTTTTCAGTCACAGTCCAGCTGGCCTTGGTGAGCTCCCAATAGATCAGCCCCCACTGTCTCAGTGGGTGGGTGCACCCCCCGTGGTCCTGACATCCTTGCTCGTGTTCTCCCTCCATCTGCTCCAACATTATAGTTTTTAATATCCAAGCAACTTGTCGGTGATTTCTAATTTCTGTGGACTTTCAGTGAGTGATCAAGATGCACAGGATGCTTTAACTACTTGCCATGGTATAGATGAACAGGAGCAGTGCTTTCATGTTACCAGAAAACTTAAGGATTGTGATGTTAATACTGATTTTCCCTTAACAATGAATCACCTAAAAACAAAACTTTGGGCATAGCTCTGTGGGGTATTTTAGGTTAAAATAATTGAGTTGAGAAGACCACCATAACTGTGGGTACACCATTCCATGGGTTGGAGTCCTGGACTGAATTAAAAGGAGAAAATGAACTGAGAACAGCATGCTTCTCTCTCAGTCCTCTAATTGCATATGCAATATGGCCATATGTCTCACACTTCTGCTGCCATGACTTCCCTTCTATGGTGGCCTGAATCTTTACACTGAGCCAAAATAAATTTCAAGTTGCTTTTTCAGGTAAGCTGTGATTATAACAAGTTAGGGAAATGCTGCAGGATAAAGTAGACAATAAGTGTAATAGCTGTTCCTTTTGGCCCCCAAACCAAATTACAGGTGATAACAATAAATAGCAACATTCTTCCTCAACGTTTAAGCTATATCCCAAGTTTTGAAACACAAAGTTATGAATCTTGCTGACAGATAGCTTAAACCAAATACTTTTAAAGCTAAATATTTCTCTCCTGTTGGTTCACAATGGCTGGATATTTTTACTGAGCATGGGTCACACATTCTCTTCAGAGAAGAGCAATTTGAAGATCCTTCAAAAAGTAACAAGGAACAAAGTCCCTGAGAAATCCCCAGTGTTTCGCTTTCTTTATCATTATGTGCCCACTCTGCCTCTGAAACTGTATCTTTTCACTCTAACATATGGAGGCATAACTCTTTTCTTCCTCCCATCCCCAAAGCCTTGAGATCTTGTTTCCTGTTCTGTTGTTTCCCCTTAACGCCAATAAATGTTCTCTTTTAAATATATTACTAAATTATTTTGCTGATAAGACTACAAATCTCCAAAACTGATTTTGTAATGCTGAGGCTAAAACAGTAGAAAGAGTAAAATTGGATGTACATATTGAAATAAATAATTTTAATTTGACTTATTTTACAACCCTGAAGACTGCATTAGATAATATTTTTGAATAGAGAATCACTTTCAACAAAACAGCAGGATACAAAACTAACTCATAAAAATCATTAGTTTTATGGGTAAAAATTATCAATTTGTCTAGAAAGATTTTGAGAATGAGGAGAATCCCATTCAAAAGATATTAAAATTATCAAGGAATAACCCTAACCGAGGAGAGATTTGTACCATGAAAATATTATTACACTGGAGAAATTTATTGCAAGATGGAATTAACTGGAGTAATACTGTTAAAAAATAGCTGTAGTACCAAAATCAGACTACAAATTAATAAAATTTTTATGAAAATCCAAAAGATAGTCTGCTTAAAAATAAAACAAATAAAACTTTTTATGCAAGCACAAAAGTACTAGAGGAGGCAAGATAACCTCTAACAGAATGAGGAAACCAGAGGTATCACAACTGCTGCCTGCAAGTTGATTCTAAGTCACAGTAACAAGACGTTTATAGGTAGACAGAAAAATACCTATGAAATCCAATGGAACAGTGAAGAGCACCCATAAATAAACCTTCATCCATAGCTACATTATCTAATATAAGCAAAGTTATGTAAAACATGTTCTGGAAAAGATAGGTTCTTTTTTTTTTTTATTTTGGGGGTTGTAATTTAATTACAACTTTAACTCCATCTGAATCCTCCCATATACCCTACTTTTTTCTTTTTCAAATTTGAGACTCCTTCATTCTTTAACATTTATTGTATGCATATATAGAGAGGTGTATATCTATAGATATTCCTAACCTGTTCAGTCTGCATAATTTTATTTTTATATTCATTTTCAGAGATGTCCAGATTCCGTGACAAATAATGCTGTAAAACTACATTTCTACATACAGAAGAACAAAACTAGACCTATAGCTCTCACACTACAAATCAATCAATTTCTGTTTTATCAATGCTTTTGCTAAGATCGAGAATTTTGAAGCATCTTGTAGAGAACCACAGGGAAAAAATACTACAAAAATAAGCTAGGTAATTTGTTTTTGAAAATGGAAGCTAAACACTTTTAATTAACTTTTACCAAGAAACAGTTTCCCCTCCTTCCTCTCCTCCTGTTCTCTTCCCTCCCCAGGCCTTCCTTTCATTCCCCTCCCCCAA